GGTAAGAAGCCGTATCTTTTCCTCACGGGACGCCGATTGGCGATGGTAAGAAGCCGTATCTTTTCCCCACGGGACGCCGATTGGCGCCGATGTGACATAGCATGTACTGCACCTGTATCCTGGTCCGTGGGGGATAAGTGCTGCGCTCTCTGCGTGTGGAAAGTGGTAAAGAGTAAAGGAACATCTGATATTCTGACACGAAGAACGAAGCTACAAGACGCCTCTGTCCACCGCTGGCTAATAAGGACACAGGAAGTAACTTGACTGGCAAAATTCAAAGTTTCAAAAAAACTGTTTTTCATTTTTTAAAATTTACCATTCATTCATTTTCTTCCGGTCCCAACATATATTTGTATAGATCTCAGCACCAAAGTCAAAACAACCATTTGCCGCGTTTCTACCTCTATATGTAAAAGACTGGATAGGAAAAGAACTGATAAATGGAGAGAAAAAACAAAATCGAACACATCAATTGCCACCTCTTGTTAACTCCAGCACCCGAGTGTCCGAGAGAGGAAATGCGTCAGGCTTGAGCTGTCTAAGAGTAAGAAGCACAATGAACGTCAACCCCAGTTTACTCTAATGAAAAAAATAATAGCATGAAACTGCTACATACCGTAGTAATAGAGGTGAAATATATTTAATATCCTCATTCTTCCTACTTGAAATTTAACGTTTAACCCTATCCGTACGCCTTGGGGTCATTTTTTACTCCCAGGGTTCACATTTTAGTATACTTCTAATACAAAGATCTCTTTGAAACTTTCAGAATTTCTCAAAAAAATAATTTTGACAGACTGCTATGCAAATGTACGGATCGGATTAACGAGTAAATTTCCTCTTGGAAAGTGGTGGCACAGAGTCTCCCACGTCGTATGGATACGATAGTAAAACACGACTTACGGATAAGGTTATGGTCAAACTTCTAAAATTTGGCAGGCAAAAATCATTGCTGGCCAGCAAAGTTCACGGTACTGAACCCTTCAAGTGTCACCGAGAACATTCTGTAGAGTCGTAACACTTACGACTGTTTTCACTGAGGGTCATAAAAATCCCTGAAGACTTCTTTACACCAGCTACAAATGTTTCAACACATAGATCTACTTTCTCAAAGCTCAATGGCTTTGCAAGACCGAGTAAACTAAAAATCTAATCTTTAAATTTATGCTGATCCATTTGACTTTCAAAAAATGTACAAGCATAGGACATTTTGATTAAAATGTGTAATTCTAACAACCCCCCCCCCCCCCTCCCCCGCACCGGGCAACAACAGAGTAATGAAGTAATCCATGAAATAAAAGACCCCTAAAGTTAAAGCTGCACCTATACTGAATCCCTTACCGTTATCAAAGAGTCTACATACCAAGGGGGGCCACTTCTCTCTTTGAGCCAATTAAAAAAGTGTCCTCAAAATTCGGTGGCGCCCACTTCGCAAAAGCGCACCTTTTGCGAACAGAGTTATCCTACTCGAGTTTAAAAAATCAAAGTGAAACTAGCAAGTTTTTGTATGAATTTCGGAAGAACGCTTTTTTAAAATGGTTACGCTGACAAAAAACCTCTTCCGGGGGAAATCGTGATTGTTTTCTTCTTTTAATTTGACTTTAGAATGAAAGGCGAGAGGTCATTAAAATTTTAAAAACCTAAAACTCCGCACTGAATGAACCCGAACTGCTGATGAACAGCAGTCGATCTGCGCACGCAAGGAGGTGCTATTCCTATTCTTCTTCTGGAAAAACGAAAGAGAGCTTCAAAACAGACTGAAGCGCCATCTGAAGCAAAGAGCGAACTTCCTGCGGACACTTTTTTGGCTGAGTGGCCCATCTTGTTATTTACTATCTTTGCCGTTATCCATTTGAAGAACAAATAAAAAGAAACAAAACAGCCGAGGGTGGGGGGAGATGATATCTGTCACTGTTTTAGGAGCTTTTCTTGCAATGATATAAGATCTTCCCTTGATTTTGGAGTCTCAATATATAAAACTTTACTTTTTAAGTATTAGAATGGAGATTCAGCTCAACTGCTGAAGACATTATGGCCGTACAAATTGAATTGGCTGTGGTACTACAGGGATGAATTTACAGCTTAAAACACTTGGAGGGTAAACCCTATCCGTACGCCCTGGGGTCATTTTGTACCCCCGGGGTTGTATTCTTCACATTTAGAATACTTCTAGTGCGAAGATCTCTTTGAAACTTTCAGTATTTCTCCAAAAAAATCATTTTGACAGACTACTATGCAAAGCGTACGGATCGGATTAAAGAGTAAATTTCCTCTTTGGAAAGTGGTGGCACGTCGTATGGATACGATAGTAAAACATGACGTACAGAGAGGGTTAATTACCATACCCCAACCACTCATAAGTCGACAATAAAAGCAGAATACTAAAGAAAAAAAAAAAAAAAGACAGGGTACACATAATGATAGCAAACAATTGAAATGACTTGCAGGATGGATACAAAGATACACAGAAAAACAAAATTTTTTGTACAATTAGGATGTCAAAATACAAGACACTTACATCATTCAGCTTCAGTAAATGTACAAAGTGAGTCCAGTCTACCACTGACAGTTGAAACTAAAGGAAAAACGTTAACTTGCACCACCATTTTTTACCCCAGGAGCAGAAACCAAAGAAAGTGGAACAGAGTATGGTCAAATGTACAGGGCTCTACTAGATAAAAGCACAAAAATATTCATGTCAAACAGTCAAGTCTGTATAAATAACAAAGAACCACCATCTCTTGCGCATTATCTTGCTCTTTGCTTTACCTCACTCATGACAAGCACAATTTCTCATGTTTTAGTAGGAAGTTTTTCTGTGCTCGCAACTGCATAAGGTTATATGAGCGCCAAGGGGTGGGTGCTAACAGAGAAGTCTTTACAGGGAATCAGACTTAGACTGCTCACCTCTCTAGCTTCAACAGCACAAGGTCGGCTTCGACTATCAAGGCACTCCAAAATAGCAGGTCACAAGAGAGTGACAAACATACAAAGGAAGTAGAGGAAAATGACAATAGTAAGGATCAGGAAAGAAAAAGCAGCAGTTCCCTGTTGTAGATCAGGCAAAGTTATGAGCGTGACATGATGAATCAGCCCACTTACAATTTTACTGTGTTTGAACGAGAAATGTCCCCCCTTTGGGAATCGAATCCTAAAGACACTACAGTCAGTGGCACTGCCCTGGGGGGTGTAGTAGAGGTTTTACGGCGCTCGCAACTGCATAAAGTCATATGAGCGCCAGATCATCAGAGGTGTTACACACATAAAAAAGGAGGGGAGATAAGGACAATAGATGTTTGATAGGAAAGAAGCAGCAAACCACACCAGAGCACCCGCCAATCACCCACACTGGTTCTCAGACAAAACGTATCAAACGCTTCAACTTAAAATCAAACCAATCACAGTGGACTCCACATACATCCAGGTCTGCAGGGCCGTTGAATTTTCTTTGATCTAGCAGGGTTTTCCGTTTAGAGAGGATGCACAAATGGAAGAATAAAATCAGGGGTTATATTTTCCTTCAGTGCACTGCTGGTTTTTTTCTTTTTCGTTGATTAAAGGAGTTCAGATTAAGCAGACTCCACTGTATCTTGAATCTCTAACAAGACCCTCATCATACTGACAGTTATATTAATAATAGCTAGCATTTGTATAGTGCAAATCTCCGTTCAACAACAAGCTCTATGCACTTCACAATCTATACTATTACCCCAGCAGATCTGAGAGCGTTCTGAAACAACCTCAACTTCCTGGGAAGCATACAGTGCAAGCAGCCATTTACAGGCGCTTAAACACTAACATACTGACAATATCTTTCGCTGTCTATGGCCGGGTACCCATTCTCACCTGGGTGAAGTGAGGATAATTCATGTAAAGTACCTTTCCCAAGGACACAACGTCGGGCCCGCGGCTTGAACCCCCGAACCTGCAACCTCACGACTGCGAGTCCGGTAGTCTAACCACCAGGCCACCGACGCCACTAAGTAACATTAGACACTTCCTACACACAATCATCACTATGCGCATTCGAACGAGTGAACACAAATATTCCTTGCAACTCGTGAAGGCGGAGACTTTCAGCCGACCAGGCTGTGCACAGCTTCGGCGACATTTCTATTATGCCGACAACTCTACACTTCCACACACAACACTTTGCAACAAATCCCTGACAGAGCAGACACCCTTGCCAAGAAGGGAGCATCACAAACACAACCTCACAACCCAGTATCACAACAGACAGCCAAGAACATCATCAAATGCAACACCAGGGAACAGTGGCTGAATGGATGGGCAATGGGCAAAACTGGAAGAACTGTATTTGCACACATGACAGCCCCCAACTCTAAAGACGCAATAAATTCCCTGAGTAGAAGAGAACAAATCACGATATTTCGCCTGCGAACACAACACATACCACTAAATTCCTACCTTAATAGGATCCGCAAGGATACCCCACCCGACTGCCAGGATGAAACAGTACCACACCACCTCTTTAACTGCCCAGCACTTTGTGACCTTCGTAGCACCTACCTACCTGCCTCCCCAGACATCGGAAACACTCTATACAGCGACAAAGCACAGCTGATTAAAACCTGTCAATTCTTTGCCATATCGACAGACCGAAGGGCTAGAACCCAAATGGCCGCTGGATCGGAAAAGTAAAGTAAGCAACAAACTTCATGACAAACAGACATTAACTTGTTTTAGTAGAGGTTTTACGGCGCTCGCAACAGTATAAGGTCATATGAGCGCCAAGGGGTGGATGTCAACAAAGAAGTCCTTACAGGGAATCAGACTTACTCTGCTCACCTCTCTAGCTTCAACAGCACAAAGTCTGCTTCAACTATCAAGGCACCCCGGAAATAGCGGGTCACAAAAGTGTGACAAACATACAAAAGAAGTAGAGAAAAAATGACGATAGCAAGGATTAGGAAAGAAAAAGCAGCAGTTCCCTGTTGCAGTTGACACAGTTATGAGCGTGACATTGATGAATCAGCCCGTTAACAATTACAATTCTACTGTGCTTAAGAACTCGAGATGTTAATGTCCTCCCCTTTGGGAATGGCCTAAAGACATCAACTCCCCTTTGATGATACCAACAAACACCAACAGTTAACGTTTCCCACCAGCCTGAGCACACAGGCGTGTTCTGTTATGCAATCCCACAAGGTATGACCTCAGATGAACACATCCTCTTTACACACGACACCAATATATATGTCCATTTTAGCCGCTGCACTCAACGGAAGCCGTCCGGATATCCGGGACAAATGAACTGTGCACTTAGTCGTCGTACATACGGTAGATCCAGAGGGCCTACCATCGACGTTTCACTGGGTTGCGACTGCTACGGTAAAGCTACATGGTACTCTTGGCCAACAACTGACCGAAGAACGCTGCTCTCTGGCTACAGCATGGCTGTCGACGTTGAGGCCGAGCTGCTCAGGTGGAAAGGACATGGCCCATCTGTCCACTGAAGAAAATAAAAATGGTGAAATGGTATGGGTTTTAGTTTTAGTTTAGTAGGGGTTTTTCGGCGCTCGCAACTGCATAAGGTCATATGAGCGCCAGAAGACTAGAGCTGTTACAAGAGAGTAACAAACATAAAAAAGATGAAGGGGAGATAAGGACGATAGATGTTCGATAGGAAAGAAGAAGCAAACCACACCAGAGCACCCGCCAACCACCCACTGGTATGGGTTTAACGCCCCTATCAACACTATTAGGTTATTTAAGAGGCGGGGCCTCTGAGTTTTACGTCAATCTCAGAAAGGACCAAGCCAAGTGGGAAGTTCGTGTAAAGTGCCTTTCCCAAGGACAAAACGTCGGACCGAGCTGAGGCTCGAACCCCTGAACCCGCAACCTCACAATTACGAGTCCGGTAGCCTAACCACTAGGCCACCGACGCCATCTCTGTCCACTGGGAACACAACAGAGAAAGAAAAGATTGAGAAACAGCCCCAGTGAAAAAGATGGAACATTGAAAAAGGAAGTGGTCATTTGTACAGTCGGTTATCTTGAACAGGTTAATAATAATAATAATAATAATAATAATAATAAATTGCACTTTTATTGATCCCAGAAGGGCAATTTGGTTTACATGGCAAACATACATACATACATTAATTATAAATATATGCACAAATACTTACATAAATACACAACATTACACCAATACACAATTTACAAACATGCCATCACAGTTCACTGTGCAGCGCCCTGTATTTTGAGCTAAGGTTGTCGTGTCTTGCTCAAGGACACACTCCAGTGACCACCCATCTGATCCCCATGTCACTGACACTTGCTTGACATAGCTTGAGTCTAAACTCACTACTCACTTAGCCACTGGAGCCCCACTAGAGTAGATTCAATTGTACATCATAAACTTGCCCATACCGGAAGACTATGGTATCATTACAGGGCATCAAGATCTGCCACTTGGGTAGGATATTTCAATTTGTTCTTACATATTTCTAAGTTCCCCTTATCGCTAGTGCTGGGCGGCGAGGTTCCCGGTTATTGAAAGCTAGGAATCGTAGGAATCGACTCCGAACCCAATTACTTACTTTCCAACGATGTTATTTCTTCCTGTAGTTACCTGGTAGCTCCGAACATCTTCGGGATTTAGAATAACCTTGATTTCGGAACACTTGATGCTTTGTAGATTTTACTGATTAAAGGAACAGGTAACGGCTGGTTTACGTAAAAAGGAGTCGGAACTTTTCTTTCGTAGCATTCGTCTTGGGAATCGGTTCCCGACTAGATTCTTCGCCCAGCTCTACATATCGCGATAAAAAAATAGGAATCCCTCAATAGCAGAGAAAACACAGAAAGATGTACCCATGCTGCTACAAATATGGCTTACCGAATTTTTTGCACTTTTGAGACATTCAAGAAAATTTGATTAGTTGGTTTACAATACACTTTTAAATATTAAAAAAAAGGAAAGGTCTAAATTAAAGACAATGGGCTCGTATTTACAAAATATTTTAACACTAAATGATGCACTATGCATGAAGACTTGGGCCATAATGGAAGCACCATGACAATATGCAACCTCTGTTTGCATCAGTCACTTTGTGTGAACTTTTCTTTCAGAATGGAGATCGGCGAGTCAATACCCCAAATGCACAGTGCCAAAAGTGAACTTGCTGATGGCCTTGTTAGAATGGGTTTCAAAATGTGAACGAAAAATTCTATTTCCTCGAGTCAGTTGAAAGACATTCTAAAATTCCAGAGTTTTTGTGATTAGATTCACATTTACGGGTTATTGTGATTATATTCAAATCAGTTTTTGTGATTGTATTCACATTCACAGAGTTTTTGCGATTATATTCAAATCAGTTTTCGTGACTATAATCACATTCCCAGAGTTTTTGTAATTATATTCACATTCCCAGAGTTTTTGTAATTATATTCACATTCCCAGAGTTTTTGTAATTATATTCACATTCCCAGAGTTTTTGTAATTATATTCACATTCCCAGGTTATTCCCAGGACCTGGCAGTCTCTTTCTTTCCCCCCCCCCCCTCCCCTTAGACATCAAGGGTAGTTGACAGCTAGTTCTTCAACCAGCACTGATTTTTACGTACGCGGTCGTTCTTCCCACTTTGAAGGACCCCTTGCCTTTCCCAGGAACCACATTCCATTTGAAAGTACTGTAATTTTTTAACCCTGTCCGTACGTCGTGTTTTACTATCGTATCCATACGACGTGGGGAACTCTCTGCCACCACTTCTTTCCAAAGAGGAAATTTACTCGTTAATCCGATCCGTACACTTCGTACAACAGTCTCAAAATATATTTTTGAGAAAAACTGAAAGTTTCAAAGAGATCTTCGCACTAAAAGTATTCTAAAATGTGAAAAATACAGCCCTGAGGGTACAAAATGATCCCAGGGCGTAAGGATAGGGTTAAAAAAATACTGATGACCCCCCTCCAACCCCGAGTTCATAACTTGTTGACCACATTACTGGGAACAATACAATCTCGTTAATTTACCACCATGCCTCTGTTGAGCGACTGACGGCAAGGTATTCTCACCTGAATAATGCCATGTTCCGGCATCTTGGATGACTGAAAATGATCTTTGAGAAGAGCCTGGGAGAAGCTTGTGTGCATGCGGTAGCCCTCTGCTTCATTCACCGAGTCTCCACACTGATGGTACAGATCTTTATGGTAGGAAACAAAAAAAGGTGAGCTCATTTAACTCGCTGTCCAGTCAGTTTAGTTTTAGTTGAGGTTTTACAGCGCTCGCAACAGCATAAGGTCATATGAGCGCCTGAAGATTAGAGGTGTTAGTTTTAGTTGAGGTTTTAAGACGTTCGCAACTGCATAAGGTCATATGAGCGCCAGAAGATTAGAGGTGTTAGTTTTAGTAGAGGTTTTACGGCGCTCGCAACTGCATAAGGTCATATGAGCGCCTGAAGATTAGAGGTGTTAGTTTTAGTTGAGGTTTTAAGACGCTCGCAACTGCATAAGGTCATATGAGCGCCAGAAGATTAGAGGTGTTAAGTTTTAGTAGAGGTTTTACGGCGCTCGCAACTGCATAAGGTCATATGAGCGCCTGAAGATTAGAGGTGTTAGTTTTAGTAGAGGTTTTACGGCGCTCGCAACTGCATAAGGTCATATGAGCGCCAGAAGATTTAGGTGTTATAAGAGAGTAACAAATATAAAAAAGAAGAAGGGGAGATAAGGACGATAGATGTTTGATAGGAAAGAAGAAACAAGCCAAACCAGAGCACCCGCCAACCACCCACTTTGTCAAGTTAGCCCCCCTGTTCTGTTCACCCATACACACCATTGACAATATTTATTTTTGCTAAATGTAAATGAAGACTACAGGGAAAAAACGACGGCAGTCGCAAACTGAAAATCGTGAGGGCACCAATTTTGAACCATTGTTGACTCATAACTGTATTTCTCCAATCAATGAGTTGAGGAGGGGAGATCAATCCATAATCTTCCAACTTAGAACACAACATGTACCCCTCAACCAACATCTCCACCGAATTGGAGTAAAGCAGTCTGCTGCCTGCCCACTATGTGACTACCCCTCAGAGACAGTGGAACATCATCTGTTTTTCTGTAGAAAACTAACTGATTTGAGGGGATGTTTTCTTCCCAAGCTACCCCACACATCTAACTGCCTTTACTCCTCAAGACAACAATTAGAACAAACATGCAACTATTACCGAATGGCATCATGCAGAAGAGTTAACGCTCAGATGCTACTGGATCGCTAACAACAACAACAACAACTGTATTTCTGTTCAACTGTCTGTTGATTATTGTTGTCAGATTACCCATTCAACAACACTTAACAATAAACCACCAGTCAAACAAATATGAAGTTATGAGTCCACAAGCTTTTAAAATTGACACCCTCGCAATTTCCAGTTTGCGACTACCGTTGTTCTTCCCCTGTGCTGATAAAATGTGATCCCAACCCCATTGACACAATTTAGATCATTTAAGAGACATGTTTCTGACCCTGTCTTATCAGGGCCAAGCTGGGCAGAGAGGGATACAACACCTCAGCAGAAAGACTGAGATACTCGATGAAAATTTCTACCCACTCAAAGGCATCGGGATTTTAAGAAAAAGAATGCACATGAACAAATATTCATAAAAAGACAACTGTATGAGGAGAGAAACAGATAGAGAGTTTTAGTTTTAGTTAAGAGTTTTACGGCACTTGCAACACAATAAGGGCATATAAGTGCCGAAGATTAGAGGTGTTACAAGAGAGTAGCAAACACAAAAAAGAAGGAGGGGAGATAAAGACGATAGATGTTTGATAGGAAAAAAAGGAACAAACCACACCAGAGCACCCGCCAACCACCCACTGGGAGAGGGTCTGCACAAGTCCATATAGAAAATAGACACAGCATGGGTTTTGCACAGAAGACAGAAACAACACTGCTCCATTGTGAGCCTCGTGACAAAAGCCCAGTCCCGTTTCAAAAGCATCACCACAGGAAGTCCGCTGGTTTATCATCCTATGTGTCTGATTGACAACAACAACATCATCCTAAGCTTTTTAGTTTTAGTAAGAGTTTTACGGCACTCGCAACTGCATACGGTCATATGAGCGCCAGAAGATTAGAGGTGTTACAAGAGAGTAACAAACACAAAAAAGAACGAGGGGAGATAAAGACAGCTGTACTGAGGAAAAAAAAAAAAGAAAAGAAATACATGAAAGTTTTTAGTTTAGTTTTAGTAAGAGTTTTACGGCACTCGCAACTGCATAAGGTCATATGAGCGCCAGAAGATTAGAGGTTTTACAAGAAAGTAACAAACACAAAAAAAGAAGGAGGGGGGATAAGGACGATAGATGTTTGATAGGAAAGAAGGAGCAAACCACAGCAGAGCACCCGCCAACCACCCACTGTGAAAGTTTACTATGAACGGAAGATCCGATGTAGCAAAACACAAAGAGCAGTAACCTTTGAGGAGTGACGACGCCCACAACTGCACGTGAACATCGGGAATTTTCCCAGCCAGCTGCATAGCCGGAGTCACCAGATTCATGGCTTCCTGTAACGACAGTTGAGGGAAAAATAGGATGAAATAAAATCTGTAACTACAATACAAACCGACCAGGCTCTGCAAAGCTTCAGCGGCATGGGTATTAAATATTCCGTTAATTTTAACAAAGAATGATACAGGAAAATAATAAGAATTTATACAAACTTTGCGTACAGACTTCAACAAATTTCTTCTCCCAAAAAGCCATCCATCGATTCACTCAACTCCATTGCTCAAAAAGCATTATCCAGTAAAAGTACTCAGGGATGCCCTTGTGATTTTTATTTTTACGAAAATACCTGAATAATTTACAAAGTTGCATTTTCACATAAAAAGACAGTGAACAGATACAAATAACAGAGGGTTAAACAGAAAAGAAATGATAAAGAATACTGACTGTTCTGCTAATGAAAATATAAGGGGAAAATGGACACTGTGATAATAAACACGACAAGACAATCAATCATAATTTCCTTGTACAATAGGTAGGTGAGAAACAAGAACTTCTCAGATCCATCCCACTCTCTTTTTATCCATAAAAATCATCTCCATGGGACCACAGCTGAAAAACAATTAAAAAAGATGATCATTTTCAAGACCCGCAGGCTTACCAACTTTTTATAAAACCCAATCTGAGACGCCCAGTGCTATAACTTCAGATTCTTCTTCAGGTGTCAAGACTGGAGCAGACATTGACAATTACGATAATCCCATTCCTTCTGGCTGCCTTGTCTTCTTGTCTTAGGTTCTTGCAGTTATGTGTTTTTTCAAACGAAGTGCATACAGACCCGGTAACTGGGAAGAAAGTCACGAAGTATACAGACCCGCTAGGGGAAACTTGTGATTTCAGAAAGTTATAGCCCCCTCTTGGCTCAGGGCAGACCTAGGTTCTTCTAGATCTTTGGCCGAGGTCTAGATCTAGACAGACAGACATTAATACATAAACCACAGATCTAGTTTTGAGGCCTAGAGATCTAAATCTAGATCTAAATGAAGATTGCGGAAGTCTTTTCGATGAAAGATCGATCGTTCACAGAACAAGGAAAGGCACAAAGAGTCGTGAGATCTGCGGTCGCACCTGCGTGTTTCCCAAGGACAGAAAAATGTGGCCCAGTAGCACCAAAGAGCAGGACGTCAGTCGGTTCAAATCCTCAGCGTTTGCCATCTTCAGAGTCTCCCTCAAACAGCGCCTGAGAGATCACAATAATAACAATAGTAAGAATAATAATAATAATAATAACAATAATGATGATGATAATAGTAGTAATAATAATAACAATAATAACAATAATAATAATAATGAATAATAATAATGAAAGTAATAATAATAATAGTAATAATAATGAATCATGAATAATAATAATAATAATAATAATAATGAAAGATAATAACAACAACACCCAAAACAAAAAACACAATGACAGCATTTATACAGCATATATCCATGCTCTACAGAACGCTCTGTATAACTATTACCACCAAGACAGACCTTAGAACACAACCTAGGCAAAAAATTCTTTGTTTAGAAGGTCATGATGGGAAATACAGTTTGTAAGTGATCAAGTTGTTGTTGTTGTTGTTATCGATCCAGCAACAGAGTGATCAAGGAAGAAGACAATTAAGGTAAATAAATAACGATGTGGGAAGCTGCTGTCCTTTTTGTACATGTTTGTCTTGGACATGCGGCCGTTAGATCCGGTTTTACTCCATCTATTGGAAAAAAAAAATTGCTGCTCAGTTCCTGAAGACCTTTTTAACACATGCATGAAAGAGTTTTGTGGACTGAACTATCAGTCAAACTAGAGGAGGTAGGAGATAAGTATTTTTTATGCGGTTGCATGACAATAGCTACTTAACCGTATCCGTACGTCGTGTTTTACTATCGTATCCATACGACGCGGGGAACTCTGTGCCACCACTTTCCAAGAGGAAATTTACTCGTTAATCCAATGCGTACATTTTGCACAGCAGTCTGCCAATATTATTTTTTGAGAATTACTGAAAGTTTCAAAGAGATCTTCGTACTAGAAGTATTCTAAAATGTGAAATATACAACCTCCAGGGGTACAAAATGAGCACAGGGAGTACAGATAGGGTTAAGAGTGGCAAGCTCAAAACAGATATTTGAAAAAAACCCCCCCCAAAAATCCTTACTACAGAGACTGGGGAAACTTACTTGGCATCCGTAAAGTTTGCCTGGAAGAAAAACTGCAGACCTTTGACATAGTACGCTGCTGCCTTCAAAGTATGAGACCTGTGAGGAAATAATTTTTAGTTTTAGTAAGAGTTTTACGGCACTCGCAACACAAAAAGGTCATATAAGTGCTGAAGATTAGAGGTGTTAAAAACAAGAGAGTAACAAACACAAAAAAGAAAGAGGGGAGATAGAGACGATAGATTTTTTATAGGAAAGAAGGAGCAAACCACACCAGAGCACCCGCCAACCACCCACTATCTTTAGTTGTTTATCGTTTGTCTCACCCAGTGGGCATTGTTTCAGGGTTGATTGACTCCACCAAACCGAGCAGTTCTGCCTGATGATTGGTCCGCAGGTAGACAATGGCAAGGTTCAGGTTGATAAAGTTGATTAAGTCTGCGGCACCCGTCATCTGAAATCATAATTCAAACAATATGAGATCAGACAACCTCAAATGCAACAGAGCCAGTCAGCTCGGCACTTAACTTACAAAAGGAAACATAAAATGGAATTGTTTTAGTTTTAGTAAGAGTTTTACGGCATTTGCAACACAATAAGGTCATATAAGTGCCAATAATTAGGTGTTACAAGAGAGTAACAAACATAAAAAAGAAGGAGGAGAGATAAGGACGATAGATGTTTGATAGGAAAGAAGGAGCAAACCACACCAGAGCCCCTGCCAACCACCCACTCAGTCAGCTCTGCACTTAACTTACAAAAGGAAACAGATAATGGAATTGGGACTGAAGCTTAGGCAATTTTTCATAAAAATGAAATTCATTATGTTTTAGTTTTAGTAAGTGTTTTACAGCACTCGCAACACAATTAAGGTCATATAAGTGCCGAAGATTAGAGGTGTTACAAGAGAGTAACAAGCACAAAAAAGAAGGAGTAGAGATAAAGACAATACATGTTTAATAGGAAAGAAGGAGCAAACCACATCAGAGCACTCGCCAACCACCCACGTTCATTATGAGTTGTATTCACAGCACAAAGAAAAGATAAAGTTGGGGATACAATCAAAATAAGATAAAGTTCAAAGCTTACACAGTAAGGCTGAGAACAGAGAAGGAAATCTTCACCACTCCACGCACAAAAAGCAAGACAAAGACATACACACAGGGATGGAAACACAACTTTCCGCGGGCTATACAGATGTGGAAAAATACACTTATTCAAGTGAAGATTAGTTCACATAGTAGCAGGACACGCTGTTGAAAGTAGAAAATCAAAATTACCGATTTCGGTCACATAAGGAGGTCATATAAGTGTCAAAGATGAGAGGTGTTACAAGAGAGTAATAATAATGATAATAATAGATAGCACTTGTATAGCGCATATTCCCGCTCAGCAGCAGGCTCTATGCGCTTTACACTATATTATTACCCCAGCAGACCATAGAACACTCCAAAACATTCTCAGCTTCCCGGGAAGCATACAGTGCAAGCAGCCGATTAAGCGCTCAAACACTAACAAACTGACAAGATCTTTCGCTGTCTATAGCCGGGTAACCATTCCCACCTGGGTGAAGTGAGGAAAATTCGTGTAAAGTGCCTTTCCCAAGGACACAACGTCGGGCCCTTGACGGGATTCGAACCCACGATCTTACGGTTGCAAGTCCGATAGCCTAACCACTAGGCCACCGACGCCACAAACACAAAAAAGAAGGAGGGGAGATAAGGACGATAGATGATTAATAGGAAAGAAGGAGCAAACCACACCACAGCACCCGCCAACCACCCACTGAGGGGTTTTGAGGGAGACTACATGGCCAATGCCCACCACATTGACCCGCCTTGTGGGTAGAGCCTGTTTTCTGCTCTTGAAAAGTTGGCAGCTATGAATACACGACTATATTAACCCTATCCAGGCGCAGTGTTTTCCTATCGTATCCATACACTGTGGGGAACTCTGTGCCACCACTTTCCAAAGAGGAAATTTACTCGTTAATCCGATCCGTACGCTTTGCATAGCAGTCTGTTAGAATGATTTTTTGAGAAATACTGAAAGTTTCAAAGAGATCTTCGCACAAGAAGTGTTCTAAAATATGAAGAATACAATCCCGGGAGTACAAAATGACCCCTGGGCGTATGGATAGGGTTAAAAAGTCTCTCCGAGAATTTCTAAAGAGTAGAGAGCTGTCAAACACAGGGACAAAAAAGTAGAAAACCATTCACCTTAACTGCCGTTTTGAACTGAGCTTCTGCAGCTTCCATGCAGTTCATTGACATAGCATACAGCCCCTGAAGGAAAAGAAAATGAACATGAGAAGTCAACATTTCATACAAGACACAAGATGAGGAACGAAACATACAGCCTATGTTTTCAACCAAGCATATTTGGATATGGCCGCTTTAAACATTTTTTTCACCTCATCTCGCCGATTGGTGATGTTTACCAGTCAGTTTGTTTGGATTTCCCCCAAAATATGATGGCAAGGTGTTAAGGACAAGCGGGCTAACCCAGATTTCGGGGGTTTTAAGAAATCTTGACCTATACCAAAAGTGGGCATTGCCCTTCCTATAGGAGAAGTTTGGTTTCATTGGATCTCGTTCCCAGGTGGATCTTGGCCTTCCTCTCTTCCTCCTCCCCTAGGAATTCCATTTTAGGCTTTGTCTTGCTATATTATGGACTGGCTTCCTAAATGTGAGCCCAATTCACCATAATCTCTTTTTCTAAATGCAAAGAATTTTGCAGTATCTAAAATATAAAACAACAGTATGAAATTTAAAATATTTGTTACAAAATTATAAAAACATACAATTGTCTCACACCTCAAAAACAGGAATGCCAAATGATTTTTTTTTTAAACCCTGAAAATGAGCGGAGCATCACATCTCACCTAAACCGAACCTTGTAAAGCTTTTGAATGAGCAAACAAACACATATTCTCTCTTACCTCTCCCCATACCTTTGCAAGTGGAAAAAAATGGGAAAAAAGGACATTTGCAATCCCTGTAAAAATCAGTAGCATTTACACAAAAATGATACCACGGGCATCAAAATTAAACTTTTATATTCTCTTCATCTTTATCCAAATAGTAACTGAGTAAATGCTTACAATGAGTGTGTGAACTTGTGCACCATGGGTGGTAAACAGCCGGGGCTGCTGCTGGCACACATGACAGGCTTGAAATATCTGGTGGGAACGAGGAAAAGAACATACATGGTCCTGAGTACAGATAAACTAATAAACAAGGCATGTTCGTATTGCAAACAATGGCTCTCTCTCTCTCTTTTTTTTAATAGTAGAGGGTTTTACCTGCTCGCAACTGCATACGGTCATATGAGCGCCAAGGGGTGGATGTCAGCAGAGAAGTCTTCAGGGAATCAGACTTACTCTGCTCACCTCTCTAGCTTCAACAGCACAAAGTCTGCTTCGACTATCAAGGCACCCCGGAAATAGCAGGTCACAAGAGAGTGCCAAACATACTAAAGAAGTAGAGGAAAATGACAACAGTAAGGATCAGGAAAGAAAAAGCAGCAGTTCCCTGTTGTAGATCAGGCACAGTTACGAGCGTGACATGAATCAGCCCATTTACAATTATACTGTGTTTGAACGAGAAATGTCCCCCCTTTGGGAATGGCCAAAAGACACTATAGTCAGTGGCACTGCCCCGGGGGGAGTTTGGCTCTCTTAGAACTTCACCAAGTCTCAGAGGCTATAAGAGCCAATAACTCTTTAAACCCCATCGGACACTGGGAACGTCCAGCGGTAACAACTCTGTTCCCTGTCGGAAACAGGGAGCACCGAGCACTAGTGACAACTGTTTCATTTAATTTAGTGCTAGTTTTTTCTTGTATTTCGGAATGATTCCAGATCCAAAGTTTTTTAGTAATGAGTAAGCCTTTGTTTCCGCCATTTAGAAGTTAGAGGCAAGCTTTTGGAGTCATAATGAGACAAAAGCATCAGGTTTATGTGACTTTAAAAAAAACTCTGAGAAACGGTGGAAAAAACTTAAGGTTGAACGAGTTAAAAAAGATGTTTCTTGCTTAATTAACTGAGAGAACAGCTGGTACAACAACATGACGTAAATGATAGAAACGTTTTTTGTCAGTGAAACGAAAATAATAACTATGTTTTCATGAAACAAAGATGAGTGCTAAGTTCTTTCTGACAAATGCTTTGAATGGGCCCCTTGTCCGGCAAATGACTAAATTGTTCAACCTCATGAATTGCCACAGATTTATTTCCCACGAACAAATCAGCATTCCTTACACAGGAGCAAATATAAGCCGTTACCTCATGAATTGTCACAGATTTATTTCCCATGAACAAATCAAGAGCAAAAATATAAATGTGAAGCGTGCTGACAAAATGAGTTACTTCTCGGATTTAAGCCTTAAGGAAATAGATACATCATGCTTATAGGTGAAGTTTTTACAATTTATATGTATGAAATAATAAAAGACAGGTTATAGTTAAAGAATATGGCATCAATAGAAAATGTGCAAATTTGACCCTAGTGTCGATTTTTGGCCAATATCGCCATTTGTGGATTGCGAGACGTAACTCATTTTGTCAGCACGTCTCACAAATGCTGTTACCTCTTGGATTGCCACAGATTTATTTCCCATGATGAGTCGACACATGATGATGTGTTCCAACAACATGAGCTGGAACGAGGACAGCAACGGATTGCTATCCATGACTGAAACCACACCAAAAACAAAAATAGTTACAAATCAAGTCAAAATCTGCCACATCTAAATGGACCAACATAAACAATGTTCTCGTTATCGTGGACATTTTATAATATATATAAATTCTCCAAAGATTAAAAAGTCAGTCTCATTCATAATATGGATCAAGTACTTTGTAAGACAAGAATCTCAATGTACTGTTGTCAGGATCCGTTGCATATGTCTTGATAGTGAGATGTAGAGCAATGGACGTAAGTCTAAGACTCCGTGTACGATCACACAAGTTACGCTTAATCATTTCCTATACGCCATCAAGAAACCACACATCCTCAAACCACTCAATAATAATAATAATAATATGAGGGGGTTCAACAAATCTTTGGTCTGGGTGTGAAGGAATCACGGTAGAGTAATGAAATTTTGCCAGCCTTCAGACAATTTCTTTGCAGCACACCATACAAATTTTCAGGAAATCTGACAATAATAAGGCACCAGTCAGCGTGTTTAACGAAACAATGCACAAAAACGTTTGGTTTTTCTTTGCTTAAGCTGTGCCATGGAGTCTGTTGAATATCACTCAATATTCAAGTTTTTACATTGGCAAGGAAAATCCTCTTCAGACATTTTTCAAGAAATGGTCCAAGTTTAAGGAGACAAATGTCCTCGTTTTAATACTGTGACGTACTGGGTAAGAAAATTCAAATCTGGATTCATGTCGGTGATGGATGAAGATCGTGAAGGGCGCCCATCCTTTGTGGTAACTGAAGTGAAAGTATCCAAAGTGAAGAAACTGGTTCTACAAGACCGACGTACAACTGTTGAACAGCTCTCAAGTGAAACGGGAATCAGAGTTAGGGTCAATTGAAACAATTCTCCACGACCATCTTAACATGAATAAGGTGTCTGCCACCTTTTGACAAGTGAGCAAAAGAAGCAAAGGGTTGAGTCCGGCAAAACTCTCCTTTGAATTGAGTCCAATGACACAAACTTCTTTAAAAACATAATAACTATGGATGAAACATGGATTTATCATTTTGATCGAGAACAAAAAATGTCCTCCATGCAAAGGAAAACCCCTTCTTCTCCCTCACCAAAGAAGGCAAAGGTAACACCGTCAAGTGGAAGGTCATGCCGTCGTGTTTCTGGGACTGTGAAGGTAACATCATGACTGACTACCTGGAAAATGGAAAAACAGTCACGGGAGACTTCTACTCAGGTTTGATGATAAAACTGTGGTCCGAATAGGTGAGAAAAAGACGTGGAAAACTCCGTAATGGAGTCCACCTACTGCATGGCAACGCCCCTGGGCACAGGGCACAACAAGCAGTCCAGACAGCAGAACAGTGCGGCTTTGAAATCCTGCCACACCCAGCTTGTTCACCAGACCTAGCCCCTTCAGACTTTTTTCTGTTTCCTAATCTTAAATATGCGAAGACTGTTCTACTGTATGGTTCAGAGACATGGAGGCTCACAGCATCAGCAGCAAGGAAACTGCAGAGCTTCGTAAATGGATGCCTACGAAGGATAGTGGCGATCAAGTGGTACGATCGAGTCACGAATGCTCAACTGTGGGAGAGAACAAGCCAAAGGCCAGTAAAGGAAGATATTCAGGTGAGGAAATGGAAATGGATTGGACACACCCTGAGGAGACCCCCGACAAGCATCATCAGGCAGGCTTTAACGTGGAACCCACAAGGAAAGCGTAAGAAGGGGAGACCAAAGATGACATGGAGGCGAGCCGTACAAGTGGAAATTGAAAAAGCGGGGACCTCATGGAAACAGATAGAAAAGGATGCTCAGGACAGGCTTCGCTGGAGTAATGTTGTTGATGGCCTGTGCTCCACTGGGAGTTAAAAAAAGGGCAAGAGAGAGAGTCTTAAATAATTCGCTGAAAGGACGTCATTGATTTCCATGACAACAAGGACCCCATTGAAGCTGTGGAAGACTGGTTAGGGGCCCATTCTGGGTCTTTTTTTTTCTCAAGGACATTTGAAGGTCAAAGAGAGGTGGCAGAAATGTGTTACTCCGTATGGTGACTGTGTAGAGAAATGGAAGAATGTGTGCCACGTTAAAAAGCTTTATCTTTACTCCTTCATATTTAGACCAAAGACTTCTTGAACCCCCCCCCCTCGTAATAATAATAATAATATATGACATTTCTATAGCATTCAACCCCAATTAAAGAACACAAGTTCCGATTGCTTTACAAGTAACAACGAAACTACTCTAACAGCCACCTGTATAAGATAATGATTGTCCAAACTGCTACTTCCTGGGTTTTTTTCCTTTGCGTTAAAAAACCCATTATAATGACAGCGTACTGTAAGACGTTCCCTTTTCTCCTCCGCAATAGGAGGCCGGCCGTCCTAAACAGTTTCGACTGTGCGATAACAAAACAGTAACAGTACATTGTGTTCTAACTAAAATCTAGATAATACAAGGTCGCTTTTAAGCACAAGGGGGCTATCCCGAAAAATGCTGTTTTGAGAAAATCGAAGGTAAAGTTTTTGCCCCTTGTTCAGTTTCTTTAAAAGACAAGGAGAGTTTTCTCTATAAGCAAACAAATATACACACCAATGAAACCAAATTTCTCTTGTAGGTAAGGCAATGCCCACTTTTGGTGGAGGTCAAGATTTCTGAAATCTTGGTTAACCCGCTAGTCCTTAAAAGCGACCATATCTCGTTATCTAAAAAAAAAAAAAGAAGACTTTAGCTGACATTTGAATAAATAAAACTTTTATCTTTTTTAAATTATGAGGCAGTAAATTCCAGATCTTCGGCTCAGGACTGATGTAAATATACGCTTTCAACTCACATTTCAGCTTTTCTATCTGCATGAGAGCTTTGTCGGTATATTTCTGAGCCTTGTCCATGTATCCCGCTTGCATGGAGTGCATGACAGTCACCTGAGAAAACATACAGGCAGTCAGACTCATTAGGAAATCCATTTCAGAAACATTTCATACGAGTCACGACGCAGTGGAATCAGGCAGTCAGACTCATTAGGAAATCCATTTCAGAAACATTTCATATGAGTCATGACGCAGTGGAATCAGGCAGTCAGACTCATTAGGAAATCCATTTCAGAAACATTTCATACGAGTCACGACGCAGTGGAATCAGACACTCGTCATTTTTGGGCAAATGGAGTTAATGGTTTAATCTTAAAGCTTGTTGATGATTTGTCCTTCTTTCCGTGAGAATTTTACCATTTCAGAAACATTTCATACGAGTCACGACGCAGTGGAATCAGGCACTCGTCATTTTTGGGCAAATGGAGTTAATGGTTTAATCTTAAAGCTTGTTGATTTCTCCTTCTTTTGGTGAGAATTTTACTCATCTATCTGGAATAGAAGTCGAGATATTTTGGATTGAAGGAAGTGGGGGTAACCTGTTTTCTGAGGTAAAATTAGCGAGAAAATGGCTACCAAAGTTGGGCAACTTCTATGGCTTGAGAGTCCTCGAAAACTCAAAATTTCTATATTTTGATCAATATTTTTCAGTAACATTCCCATGAAAATGTAGTTTTATATTGACATAAAATGTGTTGAGCCAAAAAAAATTAAAAAATTGTCAAACTGGACAAAAAAAGCCTGTTTCTTCGATTTCATTATTTTGACGATCGCTTGATTTCACTACGATGCCTCACACATATACAAAAATTCCTTATTCATGCTGTATTATCACTAGTTCTAAAAGTTGTACTGGGTGTTAAGACTTTACAGCTCTTTCTTCTTCACATTCCGAGACAGAAATTTTGTCCATGTTTATTCATACCCATTGTAACAACCTGGGGGGTTTTTTTTTGGTTTTTAAAAAAATATCCTACCAGCTGACCTCCACGGTATAAAAGAAATATCAACAGAAACTATTTTTAAACTAATCTTTCCCAAATGTCAGTTAAGAGGAAAAATACAAGTACAACACACCAATGGTGCTGTATTCTTCATGTGGAGAGAGAGAGAGAGAGAAGAATGGTTATTTGGCCTGAATGGCTTTAGTGATAGTAATGGCAGCATTTCTAAATATAATAAATATGAAAGCAAAGAACAGATCATTTACGGAATTCAAAAGTAAAATTATTATTTACTTATTATACTTGAATCTACAAAATAGTAAAAGAAATGTCAAATCTACCAACAGTTTCTTACAGAGGAATTGGAAAGTCAAAACTGACTATTCATGAGGTGAAAAAAACATGAGGAAGAAAAGCATTCCAATAAGATCTCACCAAGTACACGAGAATGCACATATGTTCCTTCGGGAGCCACTGGAACATTTCGGCAGGATTTGTCACAAGGGGCTCTGGACCACAAGGAAGGAAAAACGAAAAAAGTTACAATATCAGTCAGCGGTTCTGAAGTCTTGCATGCAAGTGAATAACTTTTCAAGAGAGTTTAACAAAATTAATGTACTGGTAAAATTGACTCTTCACACTTTTCACCCACGCCGTGCGCAGAGAGCGCAACACTTGTCCCCATGGACCGGGATACAGGTGCGGAACATGCTACATTACACCGTCGCCGATCGGAGTCCCGTGGGGGCATAGTGTTACGTATCAACCAATGACAATTATGATTATAAGTTAACATTTTCTTCATTTATCAATTAGATTCCAGAAAGCTCATTGTGCGACGCAGAGAACATAATCTTCATTTAAAGTATGCACAACACACATCAGCAAGTACTCAAAGATCGAATTCTTCACCAAAAAAAAAACCTTCGGTGAAACCCGATGTTCAGTTTAAAACAAAAAGATTGAAAGACGCCAAGATCTGTCTTGAAAGACTGTTTGCGGCAGCAATAATTTTTTTTTTTTTTTTTCCCCCATCCTTCAAGCCTGATAGATATTGGCCACAAGAATACAACACAAAGCCGATAGCAATTTAAAAAATTTATAAACACCAAATGTAAAAAAAAAAAGAAAAACACCACAAACTAACCATCATCAGAGTGGTTGTGTGCGATGGTCTGAATACTTTGCTGTAGCTGTTTCAGCACTGGTTTGACGCTCTTTACCTGTAGAAGACACAACATAGAGAATAAATACCAACCGGAACAAACAAAAGAAGAGGAAGAAGAAGAAGAAGAAAGAGACTAAGAGAAGGAGAAGACGAAGAAGAAGAAAAAGAAGAAGAAGAAATAATACAGGGGGGGAGGGGGGGAGACTGGTTAAACTGTAAGCAGCAGATTTTTTCTTCTTTTTTTTTCAGTTCAAACAGGTGTCAGGGTTACAGATGTAGCTTAAATTGAAGAAAAAAAATATATAAATCCAGGATTTCATTTGTATTTCTGTTTATCTTTGTTTTTGGATTGACCATGTTCACGTTAAGTGGGCTCGATACTTACGGGCACATCATTTGTAACTAAACACAAAATGAAACAACTTTTGTCACAAGCAGTAAGTATGAGACAAAAGATACATGTTCAACTGTTGACACAATCAATTACGAAAGCAAAAAAATCTAGATTGAATGAGGGATCAGAAAATACCAAATGTAAAAAGTGCCCAGAGCGAGTGAAAACCAGTCCCCGAGGCCCTAGACCCGACCCGCGAGCTCCCTTAAGCGGACTCCACAGCATCTTCACCGTACACAGGAGGTGGTGTCCAGCAATACAAGTTTCTACCGGAACCTACAGCCACTTAGTAGTTATTTGTGCAACTACAATAGTAGAAAAATTTGTTCAAGCCCATTACAAGAGCGTGATCACCTTATAAATACTCTGAAATATACGCAGAACAGAGAGACATGGAACACATCTCAGACGTGCATAAAGAGGATCCAGGTTTTCCTGAACAAGTGCCTGAGGAAGCAACTGAGGATCAAATGGAGAGACAGGGTCACCAACGAGGAAGTATTAAGAAGAATGAGACAGAGCCCAGTCAGAGATGAGGAGGGAAGAAGGGTTGGGCAATGGTTTTAGACAAGGAAGTCAAGCAGCTGCATAACAAGGAAAGTGTTAGATTGGAACCCACAGGGTAAAAGATCAAGAGGAAGACCAGTGGAACCTGGAGAAGAGTCACGGAAATGGATGTACCGAAAAGTGGGAAGACATAGAGTGACATCAAGCGACTAGCCCAGGATAGGGAAAGGTGGAGAGTGTTTGCTCGTGGCCTATATCCTGATCCAGGGTGAGAAAGGCAATGATGATGATAGGCAGAACAAATAATCTGTGACAGGCTGGATTAAGATATCACTTTCCCACAGAAGGGACTAATTTAAAACAATAACAACAACAACAACAGACAACAGTCAAATCTGAAACGTTTCTTGTTGCATTGAAAATTTCTAAAAAACATAAAACATAGAAGGTTTTTTTAAAATCACAAAAGTAAAAAACATGCTTTTGTCGTACCTGGCCAGCTATGAGATAGTGACAAACTTGTAGCACAAGGAAGAACACTTTGAGATATTCCTTGTGTAAAGAGCTGCCGGTGAAGGACTCAATGAGGCGGCCTGCTTGTGTCATGCTCTCATTCACAACGGGAATGTTTTTGCTGATTAAGCCAATCTGCAAATCGAAGAACAATATAATATACATATAGAAAACATTGGACTGAAATATTGTGCTGTCTGTATTGCCTTTTAATATAAAAATAAACATGCATTAAGCTTTGCCAGTCTCTAGCATTGTCAAAAGCAAAATTATATGACTTAACTGCCAAATTCACTACCATTAATTTCAGAATTGTGCAGAGGGTGGTTGGCGGGAGCTCTGGTGTGGTTTGCTTCTTCTGTCCTATCAAACATCTATCGTCTTTATCTCCCCTTCTTCTTTTTAATGTTTGTTATTCTCTTGTAGCACCTCTAATCTTCTGGCGCTCATGTGACCTTATGCAGTTGCGAGCGCCGTAAAACCCTCTACTAAAACTAAAAGAGTTGTGCATTCACGTGGTTTAAATATATAAATGAACATCCATCTTGGGTCGGTTTTTTGTTTAAACAGTGTTTACCGAGTCTTGCTCAAGGAGAAACTCCAACAGTCACTGACATGACATAAGAACATTCAGGAACTTTTTTAGTAGAGGTTTTACGGCGCTCACAACTGCATAAGGTCATATGAGCGCCAGAAGATTAGAGGCGTTACAAGAGAGTAACAAACATAAAAAAGAAGAAGGGGAGATAAGGACGATAGATGCTTGATGGGAAAGAAGGAGCAAACCACACCAGAGCGCCTGCCAACCACCCATAATTTTGGAACTGGATCTTACTTGAAAGTCATGTTATTACACACAACAAAGTAGAACATGAATAGCCATTCAGTCAGACGAACGATAAAAGTCTACACCAACTACTTGGGCTTTTGTAAGCATTTTACAGCATTTGTAACAAAATTAGGTCGTAAAAGCACCGTAGATTAAAGGTGTTACTTGAGTCGCATGTACAAGAAAAAGGAGGGGAGATAAGGATGATAGATGTTTGATAGGAAAGGAGGGGCAAACCACACCACACACCAAAGTACCCCCTAACCATTAACCAAGAACATCTAAAACTTTCAGAACTCAAGGAATCACTAAAGAAGTAACACCATAGATGTATCAGTGTCTTCATTTTTACCATAAACACTTTGCAGTCACACAATAACATCAAGAGGCTAGCCCAGGATAGAGAGAAGTGGGGGGTGTTTGTCCGAGGCCTATACCCTGGTGCAGGGTGAGAAAGGCAATGATGAGTCACACAGCCGGCAGTACAAAATACCTCATCTGGTCACCAGTCAGGAGAGCAACTGCAACAGACTTCTCGAGCCTGGCGCAGAAATGCGTCAGGTGACCAGAACGGATAATTTTCTCCGGCGCATTATTCCGCAAAGTGACCACAAAGTGTTAAGACACAGCTTTGGTAATAATAAAAATTGTCTAAATAAAAGCACCTCCTCTGAAACATGGGTGTGAAATCGGGAGCTCGTCAAAAGAAATGGAAGAGACTGACATTTTGCCCTTAATCTGGCAATTTTTCTCAATTTTTTATTATTTTTATGCCCTTTTAAGGCTACATTTCGGTATGATATGGATTTTGCTTCGAAAAAATCTTTGATCTTGATCAAAGGCACCAAAAATATAAATTTGCAGTTCTAAAGGATACTTCAGCTTTGAAAGTCACCAAATTTTGGCGGCCATTTTCTCGCCATTCTTACCTCCGACACCAGGCAACCCCCACCTCCTTCACATACAAATATCACCACTTCTATTCTAGACGGGTACGTATATTTCAAATCAAAAGCAAGAAAAATAAACAAGCTTTAAGATGATACCAATAATTCCAAATATATATATGCTATATATATAGGCTCTTGGACTCGCAACCCTAAGGTCGTGGGTTCGAATCCCGTCAGGGGCCCGACGTTGTGTCCTTGGGAAAGGCACTTTGCACGGATTTTCCTCACTCCACCCAGGTGGAAATGGGTACCCGGCTATAGACAGCGAAAGATCTTGTCAGTTTGTTAGTGTTTGAGCGCTTAACTCTCAGCAGTTCACTGAAAGGAAAATCGTACGAATTCGTACGATGAGCATCGGGTGTAGATCTAACAGCAGAAATCCGTTCCTTTTTACATTTTGATGCTTCTAATACCTTTTTTATCATAAAAAAAGGTTGAATCTATATATTTTTCATAAAAATAATCATAATTTATAAAATATTGTAAAAATTTGGTGCACGGAAAATCAGCGTTTGTTTACGTTCTCTCCGCCGCCATTTTGGATTTTGGGAGAAGGCCAGCTGTGAAGTTTCTACACTAAAAATCGGAAAAAAGCGTAAAAATGTCGTCAGATGAGTCTGATATTGACCTGAATGACTCAATGGATGAAGAATCTGATGTCTGGGTACCAGAATCGGACGATGAGGGTCCCGAGGACGGAAACCAAGCCCCGACTTTGACCAATCGTGATCAAAACAACAGGTTAGTGTTTTGTTTACATCCTGCCTATGCACAAGAAAGCCTATAAAATGTATTCTAGTGGGTTTAGGCCACTGGTATTGTTACTTCAAGCTTACAGAATAGTTATTTGTGGTAACCTGAAGTTGTGAAAGCATGGTTTGCCTCTAAAAAAATTTAATTAACTTTTTTTATGTGCCTAGCTACGGTTGTCATGTTATTGTTTACACAGCAATTCCTCAAACAGGAAGTTTGTTTTTGTTTACACCTCACCCGTGTGCAGTAGCCCTATTCCCTGCTAAGATTTTATCATTGTGATAATATGATGATAATGACAGAACAGCTTTGTTCAAGGTCTGCCTCTGTCTAGATCTAGATCTAGATCTAGAAATAAGTGCCTATGACATAGGCCTTATCAACATGTCAACTTCGACTCCGCCGATAGCGTCCTAATCCTTTGCTTATTTTCTTCCCTCAGGAACTAGCCGCAACCTCCACGTAACCAGTCTTACGCGGACCAGGATGATGGCCCACCAGAACCACTGCCTCAGTTTAGGCCTGCTGTGCTGTTGGCCTGCATCTCCCTGACTGTATCACCCGACAGGACATCCGAAGTTTTCTGACGCCAGGTGAGAGCATTATTGCACGGAGTACGAGAAATTTTTATTTTTGTAATTGCTTTCTGTTTGCCCTTACTTCACTCCGACAGGCAGGTGAGTTCTCTGATTCACATGTTACACCTGGGGACCTTTGTTATTCATTTGTAGAAAACACTCTTGATGCCATTATGTAGTTAGAACTGATATTACCTTGTGGGCCAGGATTTTCTGACAGTTCGATTGATGTCAGTGTTCCAAGCAGACTATCCTTTCCAAATGACTTATGTAACTTATGTCTTCTTCTTGTCTTCTTATTTCCTCAGTATCCTTCTTCAAACTGTTTTTCTGCACTGAGATGGAGAATCAGATCTGCCTCTTCTCTTATGAGTACGCCCCGATGACAGGACCCAACAAACCATCTGTCTTTCGCTCCTGGGAGGATCTTGACTCTGAGATGTTCCTCAAGTTCGTTGGACTGCTAATGTATATGTCTATTGTTCGTCTCCCAAATTTAGAGCTGTACTGGTCTACGAAAACCTGTTTTCATGGACTATGGGCAAGAGCATACATGAGCAAACTAAATTTCATACAAATTCAGTCTTTTTTAAAATTATGCAATCCAGACACTGAGCGAGATACTGATAAGCTACGGAAAGTTAGGTTTATGCACTATTTTTTGAGTATGAAATGTATGAAGTATTGGCAACCTAACCAGTGTGTTAGCATAGATGAGAGGATGGTTCAAAATAAGGGGAGATACAGTTTCAGGCAATACATAAAGGATAACTAAATGGGGGATGAAGTTACGGGTGGTTGCAGATTCGATGAATGGGTACACATACAATTATGAAGTTTACACAGGGAAGGATGTGGGCACACTATTGGATATTTTTGTTTCAATAAAAATAGAAACTGTTTGCTTGCAGAGCATACTGTAGAATAGTCTTTTGCCACTTACTACAATTATTGGACAGTTGAGTAGAAAAATGTTTTTTGTTTTAGGAGAGGTTTTACAGCGCTCGCAACTGCAAAAGGTCATATATGAGCGCCAAGGGGTGGATGTCAACAGAGAAGTCCTTACAGGGAATCAGACTTACTCTGCTTTCCTCTCTAGCTTCAACAGCACAAAGTCTGCTTCGACTATCAAGGCACCCCGGAAATAGTGGGTCACAAGAGTGTGACAAACTTACAAAAGAGGTAGAGGAAAATGACGATACTAAGGATTAGGAAAGAAAAAGCAGCAGTTCCCTGTTGTAGTTCAGGCACAGTTATGAGCATGACATTGTTGGATCAGCCCATTTACAATTCTATTGTGCATTAGGATGAGAAATGTCCCCCCTTTTGGAATGCCTAAAGACACTTCAGTCAGTGGCACCGCTGTGGGGGGGGGAGTAGAATGTTTTTCCGTCATGGACCACAATGATGTAAAGTACCGTACTACAATATTTTTGTCTATTTTTCCATGAAAATCTCTGTTGGTATTGGTATTTTGTATGAATACAGTGTGTTCTTGTCATTTTGAAATATTTGGTATTGCCTTGTCTGTTTTGAGTGCAATTTTGTGGATGGAAATTGACTGGAAAGTCATTGATGTTTATTTTTTCTATGTCGCGTCATTATTTCTTCGCGAAACATGATAAATGTATCTTTTGTCAAAAACCTTGTAACTTTTTATCCTTTTTTCAATATGCATGAAATTTGGACACACATTGCAAAATTGGAAGTGCTTTTACTCCATAATAAACTTTTTTGGGTATCTTAGAACACTTTTTTTTTTCTTTCTTTGTGACTGTTACATGTTGGGAAATTTTATCTTTTTTTCCCCTGTCCCTCCCTCTAATAACAGAGCACTACATAGACAACAGTGGTCATATTATGATGAAAGTACCTTCATTTGATAGGAAATTCAATTTCCTTTCCAATGGTATGTAATTTGACATACTTTCTGTGGTATTTTATATTCTATGGTAAATCATACTAACCATGGGTGCCGTGTAGGCGAAAATGGTCAAAATACCAAGAACTGCTGAGAGTTAATCAGCTGCTTGCACTGTATGCTTCCCGGGAAGCTGAGAATGTTTCGGAGTGTTCTATGGTCTGCTGGGGTAATAATATAGTGTAAAGCGCATAGAGCCTGCTGTTGAGCGGGGATATGTGCTGTATAAATGCTATTTATTATATATATATATATGTCCAAAAATAGACAAGCGTCTGATTCCACCTCCTCTTGACACATATTCATCGGGTACAAACCCATAACCTTTCAATTACAAGTCTGACAGCCTAATTATAATAATAATGATAAATAACATTTGAAAAGCGCATACCCCCGCTCTACAGCAAGCTTTATGTGCTTTAGACTATATCTTTACCCCAGCAGACCACAGAACACTCCGAAACATTCTCAGCTTCCCGAGAAGCATAAAGTGCAAGCAGCTGATTAAGCGTTAAAACACTAACAAACTGACAAGATCTTTCCATTGCCTAACCACTAAACCATCGAATCCACTACAACAGCTACCGTCAATAGAGGAGAAACAGAGAGTACTTACCATGCCCCTGCTGAGCATGAAGAGTAAGCGAGTGTACTCAGACCTCACCGACAAGGCGTAGTCTGCTCCGATGCCCATCATGTTCATTGCCGCTAGCCAGTCCTTCTCCGCTGTATGAAGTTGCTGTAAAATATTTGTTTTAGTTTTAGTAGTGGTTTTACGGCGCTCGCAACTGCATAAGGTCGTATGAGCGCCAGAAGATTAGAGGAGTTACAAGAGAGTAACAAACATAAAAAAGAAGAAGGGGAGACAAGGACGATAGATGTTTCATAGGAAAGAAGAAGCAAACCACACCAGAGCATCCGCCAACCACCCATAAATATTTGTTTGTTTCCATTTATCAAAGTACATGTCAAAACAGTATGGTATAGCAAAATCCAAAAGCTGAACATAATGAAACTAAAGACCTTAGAAGATCTTGCAGCAAGTAAAGGAGTCTTCATTTCGAACAACAAATTAGACTAATTATTTATTTTTTTAAGTAGAGGTTTTACTGCGCTCGCAACTGCATAAGGTCATATGAGCGCCAGAACATTAGAAGTGTTACACGAGAGTAACAAACATAAAAAAGCAGAAGGGGAGATAAGGACGATAGATGTTTGATATGTGGAGCAAACCACACAAGAGCACCCACCAACAAACCACAATTAGACTTTTTTTAAATGTATATGTTTCGCCCGTACACACATTTCCCTCCGCCAATTTATTCTTTTCATTTTGAAGTTTGCGAAAACCAGCACAAACCAACAAAATGAAAAAGACATGAGGGAAGAGAATTATTATTGACATAGAGCTAGGGGGAAAAAAAACCTCTAATATGATATACTCACGGCTAACTGAAATAGAAGGCGACAATGCCAGTACGGGGCTTGCTGAGAGAGTTCAATTGCCTTGAGCAGTATAGGTTTCGCATGTTGGGGCTGATTCTGAAAAACAAGAGAAATAAATCTGGCTGTCAAGCAGGTCATATAAAACACAGAGCAGAGAAAGCATGAAATATTATGTTAAGACCGTGGCTGCACTGCAGAGCATTGCTTTTGCTTTCTGAAGAAATCTGTGTACTAAAACAATAATCAACCCTTAACAACATGTAGACCCTGTTCATTTATATAGGACAGGTATGTGTGATTAAAAAGAGGCTCTACTCACTGTATGATTTTTGCTTTTGTAAACGTTTTGCGGCACTCGCAACTGCATAAGGTCATATAAGTGCCTGAATATTAGAGGTGTTGCAACAGAGTAACAAACATAAAAAAGAAGAAGGGGAGATAAGGACGAAAGATGTTTGATAGGAAAGGAAAAGCAAACCATACCAGAGCACCCGCCAACCACCCACACTTTATGATTTACTATTACCCAGATAGACCTTATACATTCCAAAACATTTCAGCTTCTAAGAGGAAAGGATTCAGCACAAGCCACCATTTTACTGGGTGTCTTCTGGGGAAGTGGCAGAACCAGCATGGTACAGGGGGTGGAAAGACGGGTTAGTCACCAAATGAACACCGGAACTATCAGCAGGCGGACTCTGAGGAGGATATTGGAGCGGGGAGCGGAGCACGTATGGCAATGCCGGAGTGCTAGGATGATGTTGTTCCCAGGATCTAAATCAAGTAATCACCACTTTACAGACAGACATAAACAAATGACTAGATCTTTCACCGTCTTAGCCACATACAGATTTTCATCTACCTTAAAGAGTAAAAAAAAAAATTTTTTTTAAGTGCCTTTCCAAAACACAAATCTTGCCCTGATAAGTATTTGAACCCATGGCCTTGTGGCTATGAGTTTGAGTTTTAGTAAAGAGTTTTACGGCACTGGCAACACAGAAAGGTATTATAAGTGCAGAAGATTAGAGGTGTTACAAGAGAGTAACAAACATAAAAAAGAAGAAGGGGAGATAAAGACGATAGACGTTTGATAGGAAAGAAGAAGAAAACCACACCAGAGCACCCGCCAACCACCCAGGGTTATGAGTCTGGCAGCCTAACCATAGGACTACTGACACAATAATTCAATGACGTTTATCATCATCAAGGAGTGCCAGATCTGAAGCTAACATTGGCAATTGTTTCTTCTTCTTCCTCGTTCTCGATGACAGCAGCTAGACAGTCAGTCCGACGTCGCGCACAAACGGTGCAGTCCGCTTGAAATCTAAGAGACTGCCAAGTGCTTTCTCTCAAGGGGAGTGGCAATCGTGATTTGCCGTTCACTTCTTCGCTCATGTGCTGTGCTGAAAAAAACCTATACTATCTGATCTTTCTCTATCCTCCATTTGTTCAGGCTCTCTTTGCAAGCCACTCTTGGTTCACCCCTGTCTCTATTGTTCTCATGAAAGCGAGATGTTCAGAGTCCTTATTATTTATTCTAGCGTTCCAGAAACTGCATTCAGCTCTTCTTTTTTTCTTTTTTTTTTTTTTTTGAAGAGGGTTTTACGGCGCTCGCAACTGCCTAAGGTCATATGAGCGCCAAGTCCCTTCTTAATTATTTTTATCAACAAGTGGCTAACTAAAGATGCTTATGCTATAAAAACATTTTTTTAAAGAATGACCAGATATCATCTATAAAAAAAATTGTGAAGTATTTTACTTGCTTCACTGTGGGAGTAATAATAGTTTATTTTAAAAAAGTAAACAAGAAAAATTAAAATAAGTCTCATTTTTAACAAAAAAATAAAACATTTTAAAACTCCACTAAGTAAGGTTCTCTTTTCCCAAAAGATTTCCAATTTTTTCATTAAGGAAAGAGCTGGGGGGCTCTCGTGGCCTAGAGGTTAAGGTGTTGGCCTCTCATTCAAAGGTCCCGGGTTCGAATCCAGGTAGCGACCGAAAAATTTTCTTCTCTAAAATTGTCTCCTTTCACCTCCTTTCCCGCTCTCTAGCAATGTTCTGTTGTCTGCTTTCATTTCCACTTTCTGC